CAAAACTCGCTAATAAAAGGCGAGTTGAGGGTTTTTACAGAGACCCAATATTAGTCATGGCTTTATATTCCGCTATTCAATAAAGCTAGCAGTAAATAACTTAGATATGTAGCTAAAAGTTATAGTTATCACATATTTATATGGGTAACTTGTTACTTATATTTAAAATCTTTGATGGATTTTCTCAGAATGTGATGAATGAAAATCACAAAATAAGAAGTATAAAAGTTAGTAAGTTGCTAAGTTACTAACTATGATCTTTCTTATAGTCAATAAATTGACTAAAGGTATTTTCTCCCCAGAACAAAGTATAAAAATATATTATCATAAACATGCCTAGTAATGTTATATGTAATTGGGAAACTCAAATATCGTTTCCACTTGAAAATATCCTAAATATATCCTCTAGTTTATCTTGAAAAATCCCTAATGGATTTATAATTCCCGAAATGAGGATTTATTTAAGTGTCATTATTTACTTTTTAAAGAGTTGCGAATGGGGTTATTATCATCCTATAGAAGGAATAATATGTACCATTATGTGCTCAATAAAGGGTTGATAATGGACTTATTTATTATCTCAGTCAATATTTATGGTGTAAACATCAATGAATCAATGAAATATATAAAGAGCTTGAAGATGTCCGTTCATGTTTAAGGACTGAGATTTTTTTTTTTTAAATAAAAAGCTTGTGAAAGCTATAAGTATTATTATCTCGACTTGAAGATTGAGTTTTTCATTGAAGAATTTTTTTTATACACCAGTTAGCTAATACTTGATTTTGATTAGATACTTATACAAATCAATAATGGGCTACATGGGTACTGTTTTTATATCTCAAGTCCCAAAACTGGTTGTACTATATTTACCCTCATTATCTTATAAAATGACAATAAAGATTGTGTCACTCAAATGATAAAATAATATATAATGAAATCTTTTGACTAAGATATTATGGTATCAATCTTATACCTACGTGAGCTCCAGGATAGTCACGGGTTTATTATAAAGTATATTTGTTGGCAATTGTACATATTTATTTACAAGATTCCTGTATACATTTTGGAAATTTAATGTATAGGATATCCAGATTGTTATCTTGAGGGGGAGTATTAATTTATATGAATCAATCCTAAAGATTGATGACTAACGACACATACATCATGCACTCTTTTCCTCAACTAATTTTTCCCACCGGATTTTTCTAATGGGGTTTTTAACGAGGCATGTGTATGATATAGTAATGACAATGGGAAAGTTGCAAAATAATTACTTAAATGGACAAACTCCAAAATCCTAAAGATTACGCAGGTTATGCCCTGAAGGCTTATGGTTGTACTCTTTTTCCCTTAACTAAGCTTTTCCCACAGGGTTTTCTTAAGTTAAGGTTTTTAATGAGGCAATCAATACAATATATGATTTTACAAATATCATGTACTCTTTTCTTCAAATAGGTTTTTCTCACGTGGTTTTCCTAGTGAAGTTTTTAATGAGACATGAATATATTTTCTATTGTACTCTTTTCTTGTCTAGGTTTTTCCCACGGGGTTTTCCTAGCAAGTTTTTAATGAGGAAGATCATGGACAAATAATGTCCAAGGGGGAATGTTATAAATAAATTTATGGTGGACATTAATAATAGTTTTGTAACGTTTGTAACGGATGTAACGGATGTAATTATCATTCATTATTGTATGTCTTTATGGTATCTTGTATATATATCATTGTACTATATATGATGAATGAGAGATGAAGAGATATCCCCCTTTCTCCCTGGTCTATTCTGTATATTCTTTTGACAAAAAACACTAAATGGTACTTTCAAGCATGCACATATAGAGATATTTTAATCTATTGGCCTTCAATTCTTTCTCAGAATCAGAAGAAGTATACAAATAATCCATACTCTAAAAACAAAAAATATAAGAACATTGGTTTCTATAAGAATTTATTAATTACAGGAAATCAAGTTTAGGTCAATAAAAGCAAAAAACACTAAATGCTACTTTCAAGCATGCACATATAGAGATATTTTAATCTACTGGCCTTCAATTCTTTCTCAGAATCAGAAGAAGTATCTTCACCAGATGAAGAATACCACTTTCCACCACCTTCTTTTGAATCTTGCCATCAAAGCCATGCCTGGAAATAAAATGTATAAACAATATTACAAAATTATTGTTTTAAACAAAGTAATAATACAAAAAAATACATGTAATACAAAATTTAAAAAAAATAATGAATGTAAATGAAAAAAAAATAAAATTCACAGAGATAGAAATAGCTTGAAGAGAAATTGTACCTTTAATGCTTTGAAATATGCATATTAGTTTGAGCGGCTATTGAACTTGAACCACAATGATTAAATTGATAAATCGGTGATGAGAGAGTCACTTGCCAGGGAAAAGAGGGATGCAATGTAAAATGAAGACTTAATAATTTTTTAGTCATCAACTCATTGTATTTATAGGTGAAAAATATGATAATTATAAATGTGTAAGATTTTTCAAAAGGAAAGTGTATTTATTTATTTAAGGTATTGCCATAATCAATTTATTATATTGATATTCCTAATCAAGTCATTATATTAATATTTCTAATTAATTTTATTCCTAATTAATTTATAATATTGATATTACTAAATTCCCCTTAACTTTGGGCGGGAAAATGAAATAGGAGGATTTTGTGTATATATATATATATATATATATATATATATATATATATATATATATATATATAGATTATTTCATGTTCTTGTAAATGCAAAATGAATTATGGAAATTAATTATCACCACCTTAAGTCTAGCCTAAGGTAGGGGTATTTAATGAAATCTAAATAATAACCATACGGATGGCGGGGGCAAATTATGCTCTGCAACCGTGCAAGGTGGAAACGGTTCCAAAACTGTCATAATTGTAAATATAGAGTTCAAAAATTATGAACATAGAGTTCTGTAATTATGAGCATAGGGTTTTGTAATTGTGAATATAGAGTTCAATAATTGTAAATATGAAGTTCAAAAATTATAAACGTAGAGTTTTATAATTATGAACATAGAGTTCAGTAATTATGAAAATAGAACTGTGTCCACCTTGACACCACGTCATAACAATTGGATGGTGGGTTACCTGCCTAGAGAGAGAGCTGAGCATGAAGCCCAAATGAGTCAGTTTTTACATTCGAAATTATTTGTTCAGTTTCAATTTTAAACATATCATTAATTGAAAAGACACACTAGCTAATGTACATAATCGCGTCAACTTCCTACACGAATTAACAAAATGAATGTCATTTTGGGAGGTGCGGGGTGCACAGTACTGTGTGCGCCGTGGTGCAGGGTATAACGATAGGTCATTTTGGCCCTTTCGAAAATATTACTAAATGTACAGACAATATATAGGCAGGGACAGAGTGCAGAATTTTTATTTAATGGGGGCGAAGAAGAAGCGAAGGTAAAATGAAAAAGAAAAATAAATTCTTTGAGTGGAGCTGTTTCTACCATTTTTTTTTAGCTAGTTCATCAATACCATTCAATTTAGAGAAAGAAAAAAAAAAAAAAGAAAAAAATGATTGAATGACAACTTGACTACCCAACATCAAAATGACTTACTGCTCCGGACCAATGTCAGTCACCGTTTAAACCGAAAACTTTGTTTCTCACTAACACAACCAATGCATTCTAGTCATGCACTCATACTATAACTATATGGGAAAAACTTGCCTGTAGTGTATCTAAAACCTAGGATAAAATTTGCAAACATCATGCAAAGAAGCAACTTAACCATGAGCACTTAGCCCACAATGCTCTACATGATACTTAAAGGCACAAAACTTTTGTTCTAAAAATTGCAAATTCACAAAGCAGTTTTACTAAAACATGAAAATGCAAATAAGGCAAAGCATTATATCGTAATGAATTTCAATAATAATAATAATAATAATAATGATAATAATAATAATAATAATAATAATAATAATAATAATAACAACAACAACAACAACAACAACGAATTCAGCATATTACTATTTGCAATTTAGAAATGCATTTTTACTCAGTTAAAATTCCACAAAAATGTAATGACCACAATCAGGGCCGGATTTTAGATTTTTGTGGCCCTGTTCTGGTAAATAACTGAGGCCCTCCAAAATCATGATTTTTAAAACTAACATATACGAGTTTCGAACCTTTGACCTCTAAGTTAAAAGACAATAAATACATATTTCAACCATCTCTTCATAGAACCTTTTAAGATTAATTGTAAACTTTTAATTTTTATTTCTAAACTAGCTAGGTAAATATTAAATATTGGGCCTCTAAAATTTGGGGCCCCTCTAAAATTGGGGGCCCTGTGCGGTAGCCCAGCTTGCACAGCCTAAAATCCGGCCCTGACCACAATAGAAGAAAATCCCATAATAATAAAACATTAGATGTTCAATTAATTAAATAATATAATATATGTCTCGTTTATCTGCAATTATCTTGAAAGAATCTATATGTAATATAATTTATGCAATTATGTTATTACTAAAATAAACAAGGAAAAAAGGGGAAATAATTTAAAAAGACATTAAGCTATGAAAAAATTCGGAATCAAACTCAATTTTAATGTTGTTTTAAATTATCGGATTTAGAACTGTTTTGTTCATATAACTGATTTAGGTATTTTTTTGTATTGTAAAATAAAAATATTTCAAAGAAACAATTACACAGTAGTCTAGAATTAAAAATACTTGGAATCAAAACATGAGGAATTTCATTACTATTAATATGTTTCAAAGGCAATTATTAAGTATTTTTACAATTAATTCATGGGAAAATCGCATTTTTGGTCCCTCAATTGTTCCCAGATATGCAATGTAGTCCCTCATTGTCAGTTTTGCTAAATTGATCCCTCAAATGTTTCAATTGTAGCCAATGTAGCACTCCGGTCAGATTTGTCACTAACTAGTGTTAAAACCATGGACAATTTGATAATTTCACAACACTAAGTTTTACCCCCAATTTCCTTCTTCCTCTCGCATTGGCTTTTCAGATTTGTTAGTCACACCTGAATCCATGGTGATGGCAGCGCCGCCGTGGTCACCGGCGACTGACGACGGTCCGGCAACCGGTCGGCCGTCTGAATCTACAAATTCTGAAAATGTTCCAGAAATGAATCTGATTGTGTATAGGCAACAGAGGAAGTCCAGATGGCTCCAACAACACTGGGAATGAGAAAAGCGAAAATGTTCAAAATCAAGTGTGATCTGTCATAGAAAACAAATCAATTTACAAAAGAGGCACAGACAGAGGTAAATATCAATTTACATTCTGGAATTAATGAATTGAAGTAGGGAAGCCAGAAGTAAAATTAGAGAGACGGATAGGAAGAGATTAGCAGCAGACCAAGACACGCCTCTTGGCCAAGAAATTAGCCAGGGCTATATTGGCTACAATTGAAACATTTGAGGGACCAATTTAACAAAATTGACAATGAGAGACTACATTGCATATCTGGGAACAATTGAGGGACCAAAAGTGTGATTTTCCCTTAATTCATTAATGATCATAATAATTATTAGTGAATTATACTTATATATGTGCAATTATATTATTACACCTTAAGTTTGAAAATATATATAGAGATTATCATACAATTAAACTAATAATTACACCGAAGAAGGGATTAGATGAGAATTGACATAATAGTTATTAGGCAATTATACTAAAATTTGCATAATAAATTCCTTTATTATCATAATAATTATAGGCAATTAAACTAATAATTACACGAAAGAAGGAATGAGAATTGACACAAGTATAATTACCATAATAATTATTAGGTAATTAAACATTAATTACCATATATAAACATCATAAGATTGATATTTATCTATGCACTACTGTGGTTGCTAGGGTTCGAGATCTAATTAAGTCCATCGCCCCTGTCTAGCCGCGTCTCCGCCGTAGGCCACATCCAGGTACGTATGTACTACATGCGAGTTTTTTTTCCGCAATTTCAAAACCCTAAGTAGCATATCTTTTGATCGAATTTGCAGACAATTGAAGAAGATGGACTACGCTTCAAAAAAATTGAAGAAGATGGACAACGCTACTTCAAGTTCATCAACTCTTGCTATTTGTATAGCTTTTCTCCCCCAAGAGATAATTCTCAAAATTCTCACCTGTCTCCCTCGCAAATATGCAGTCTCTTTCAGGTGCACTTCTAAATTCTTCCATTCTTCAATCCCTCAGCCACACCTCGCGTTTAAAATCCTCTTCTCCTTCCCATCCGCAAACCATCCCACAAATCTATACACTATGAGTTACGCTGAAGAGTGTTGGATTTTGCAACACTGTGGATATCTGGTTTGGAACGAAAAAGGGGAACAAAGGTTCTGTATCGTGTATTAAACACTACCTTAAAAATATTTACGACCAGGGATTGAGTCGCATGCTTTCGACAGGCACAACAGAACAAACTCGCAAGCAATATTTTACTGAAAGCTGGCAGGATGGTTTCAGAACATGCAGCAGCATTTCTGTACTGCTTCTTGCATTTTTTAACCATACTAACAGTAAGTATTTATAGTATAGTGTAGCAACACCCCACCTCTCACTACCTACCTTTGTAGCGCTATAAAATATCAATGGACCAACTCTGCACACTCATTAATGGAGTTGTGCAGACAAGGTCACTAGATGATCCACAAAAATAGGGTGTGAAAATAGTTTTGGGAGCAAAACGTTGACCCCACCACACCGCGCGCCGAGCCGAGCCGGACGGGCGGGCGGCGGCGGCGTGCGCGGTTTACCTCTTTTCCCATCTCATAACACTTCAAACTATCTTAAAAGGCTTGGAGTATATAAGTAAGGAAATAAGAGGTTATTCTACCAATATGGGACAACTTGGTTAGGCTATAAGAAGCCTTTCCCTTTAAATGCTCCCAACAATCCCCCATCATGTAAAGGGATTAGGCTGGTGCTAACATTGCCTGAATACGAACAAAGCAAATTTTCATGCCAGTGTATAGAACTTGAACTGTCATATAGTAACATTTAGTACTTCTCTACGCGAGAGTGAATTAGATCTTGAACTCACCGAATAGATAAAGTTTGAACTTAAATGCACTTAATTTGCTTTATTCGCCACGAATTATGTGTGGTTATACTCTTGACCCTGAATTATCCCCTGTTAGGTCTATACCAGTATAGACCTTCAACTCTGTCAAGTCTACCTCAATATAGACCACCATGGTTGGCTACAGAGCATGTGGGTTCCAGACCCATTTCCCTTGATGTATCAAGGATAGCTTTTCTATTTAGGCTCTTCGTGAAAGGATCTGCAACATTCCTTTCAGACCTCACAAAAACCATTGTGATCACCCCATTTATTATCAACTACCGTACAGACTCATGTTTGACTCTTATGTGTCTACGTTTCCCATTGTAGACACTATTTTGCGTAACACAGATGGCAGTCTGGGAATCACAATGTATGGGAACAGCGAGTGCTAGGCACCCCCACAATGGCACGTTTGCCAAGAGATTTCTCAGCCATTTGGCTTCCTGACTTGCTAGATCTAGTGCTATGAACTCTGATTCCATAGTCGATCTGGCTATACAGGATTGTTTGGTTTACTTCCATGATATAGCGGCTCCGCACATAGTGAACACATATCCACTAGTCGAGCTTACATCATCAGTGTCATTTACCCAGTTTGCATCACAGAACCCTTCGAGCACAGCTGGGTTTCCCTTATAGTTAAGGCCCCAGTCTATCGTGCCTCTTAGGTACCGAAGTACCCTTCTCAGTGCATCCCAATGTGAGATACCAGGGTTGTGAGTATATAGACTGAGTTTATTCACAGCAAATGTAAGATCTAGTCTAGTATAGTTCATTAAGAACATTAGACTCCCAATTATCTTTGCATATTCTTCTTGAGATACACTAGCCTCTATGTTCTTTGATAATTTGATGCTGGGATCATAGGGGGTTTTCGCCGGAGTTACATCATAACTCTCAAACCTCTTCATGAGTTTCTCCGTGTAATGACTTTGGGATAAAAGGTAACCTTTCTCCGTTTTTGTAACCTTTATTCCAAGTATTACATCAGCCTCCCCAAGATCCTTCATATCAAACTTGTCACATAGAGTTCTTTTAGTCTCTTTTATAGCTCCTATACTTGAGCTAAAGATAAACATGTCATCTACATAGAGACAGATTATTACGATGCTAGACTCTACCTCTTTTGTGTATAAGCAGGCATCTGAGCGGTTAGTGGAATAACCTAGCTCTAACAAAGTTTTATGAAACTTTTCATACCACTGCTTAGGGGCTTGTTTCAAGCCATAAAGAGATGTTTTAAGTCTGCATACCTTTCCTTCTTGTCCTGGATCAACACATCCGGGGGGTTGTTCCATGTAGATCTCCTATTCTAGTTCACCATTGAGGAAAGCTGTTTTTACATCCATTTGATGTACTATCAACTTGTGTAAAGATGCTAAAGCAAATAGAACACGTATGGTAGCTATCTTTGTTACTGGTGAATAGGTATAGAAGTAATCTTCACCGAATTTCTGTGTGTAACCTTTAGCTACCAGTCTGGCTTTAAATCTTTCAATTGAGCCATATGGTCTCAGTTTCCTCTTGAAAATCCATTTACAGCCTATGGGTTTACAACCCTTAGGCAGTTCCACTATTTCCCATGTATGATTAGACTGTATGGAGTCTAACTCACTCTTGACTGCTTCTCTCCATAGAGTAGTGTTTACTGAGCGCATAACTTCTTGAATGGATTTTGGTTCTTCTTCTAACACAAGTTGACATATAAAATGATCACACATTTCATTTAGATCTTTCAATTCCGTCATATATGTTATGAAGTCAGAGCCAAGGGTTTTCTCAATTCTAGGCCTTTTACTTCTTCTAGGCTCTTCTGAATTACATGAGAAATCAAGAAAAGAAAGATTTTGTTGAACTTTATTAGCATCTAGTTCAAGTGCACCCTTCAACGGAAACATGTGTTCAAAGAAAACTGCATCTCTAGATTCACATATTATACAATTTTCTAAACACATAATTCTATAAGCTGTACTATTTTCAGCATACCCAACAAATACGACATCTAAGGTTTTAGGTCCCAAGTTGGGCCTTTTAAAGGACGGGAGTCCCACCTTTGCCAAGCAACCCCATACTTTAAAGTATTTAAGATTAGGCGCATGCCCTTTCCACAGTTCATAAGGGGTTTTTTCAAACCCTTTGTGCAAGACCCTGTTTAGAATGTGGTTACTGTTAGAACAGCTTCCCCCCCACAACGAGTCAGAAGCACCTGAACTGATCAGCATAGTGTTGATCATCTCTTTGAGAGTGTGATTCTTTCTTTCTGCTATGCCGTTTTGTTGGGGTGTGTAGGGTGCAGTTACTTCGTGTATAATGCCAAAAGATTCACACAGATCTTTCACGAAATTTGATTCATACTCTCATCGTCTATCGGATCTAAGTCATTTGATCCTTCTCTCCAACTGATTTTCTACTTCATTTTTCGAAAGAACAAATTTTTGTTCGGCTCACTTTTGTATAATTTTGTATAGCGGAAAAATCATCAATAAACGTTATACAGTAACGCTTACCACCTCGACTTTCAGTGGTCTTAAAGTCTTCTAAATCAATGTGAATCAATTCTAGCAATGATGAAGTACGATGCTTTACAGTTGAAAAAGATGTTCTAGCAAATTTTGCCTCAGCGCATGTTTCACATTGATCACATGTATCATTAGACAAGTTTGGTAGCATATTCACATTTTTCAGTCGATTTAAACATTTTGTACCAACATGTCCTAATCTAGCATGCCAAACATTAACTGATACAGTAGTATAAGCAAATGAAGAATTCTTATTATCACGAGCAGTCAGAAAAGATCCAAATACATCAGAGTGATTTTTAACTATAGAGACATCTAGTGAAAAAAGACCTCCACGCAGATATCCCTTCCCAATGAACTTCTCACAACGAGTCCTAACCAGGCGGTCAGACTCAAAAACCATCTTAATTCCAGCCTTATTTAGAAGGCCTCCGGAAATTAGGTTTCTTCGAAGGGAAGGGACATAAAGCACATTTTGCAAAAATAAGTGTTTTCCAGAACAAAGTAGTAATTCTACTTTTCCTCTACCACTTACCTCGGAAGCACTGGAATTTCCCATGAAAACTTATTCTCCACCAGTGATAGGCTCAAAAGTTTTGAATAATGCTTTGTTGTTGCAGAAATGTCGTGATGCTCCAGTGTCCACAACCCATTTGTCTGGATTTTCCACCACGTTGGCCTCAATTGTTACTGCAGCTACTAAGTCAGCATCTTCCGTGTTCTCCGTCAGGTTAGCCTGGTTCTTCGGCCTCTCGTTATTTGGTTTCTGACCATTCTGACTTGTAGACCCTTTGCGATGATAGCATTGGGCAGCATGGTGACATCGTTTCCCACATACATAGCATTCACCAGAATTATTCTCTTTTTTTTGAATCTTTCCACCCTTGCCGCAAATGGAATTGTTATTCGTATAATTTTTCCTTTGGTTTCTAGAATTGTCACCAGGTTTTGATTTATCAAACCCAGAGTTAGTTTCAACAATATTAGCTTTAACATTGTCAGTAAGAATAACAGACCTTTGAACCAGGCGGTTTTCTTCCTCGATATTCACGTTGTTTATCAGTTGTTGCAGTGTATAGCTCCTTCGGTCATGTTTCATTTTATTCTTGAAGTCTACCCATAAGTCGGGCAGTTTGTCAATAAAGGAATCACATAGGACTACATCATTAACTATTCCACCTTCTGCTTTCATGTCATCGACCAAATTTTCAAACTCGTGTACCTGTTCAATTACAGGTTTGGTGTCCACCATTTTAAAGTGTAACCAACGACCCACAGCATATTTGCGTCTCCCCACATCATCAGCACCATATTTCTCAATCATTAAATCCCAAATTGCTTTTGCAGATTTGTATTCAGAAAACATATCAAACAACGGGTCACTTACACGTTGGAGAATGGTTGTTCGGGCAGTTTTGTTATCTTTCTCGTATTTGATGCGAACTGTTTCGGATGCTGATGAAGCTTGCGCTGATGATGAATTGGATGTATCTGTAGACTTCGGGTTTGTTTCAGCAGGTGAAGCCGTGGTCTGCACTGCAGGTTGTGTAGCAGCCACGTTAAATTTTGCAGGATCTTCAAAAAGGACGTAGTCCACATCCTTCGATTCCAAGAGCATGATCATTTTTGCAGCCCATCTCTTGTAGTTTAAACCACCAGTGAGTGGTTGAACAGGAGTAATATCAAACACAATGTTTGCTATTTCTGATATTTGTGACTCGGTTTGGTGGTAAATGTTTTTAACTGTTGGATTTTGCAACACTGTGGGTATCTGGTTTGGAACGAAAAGGGGGAACAAAGGTTCTGTATTGTGTATTAAACACTACCTTAAAAACATTTACGACCAGGGATTGAGTCGCATGCTTTCGACAGGCACAACAGAACAAACTCGCAGGCAATATTTTACTGAAGCTGGCAGTATGGTTTCGGAACATGCAGCAGCGTTTCTGTACTGCTTCTTGCGTTTTCTAACCATACTAACAGTAAGTATTTATAGTATACTGTAGCAACACCCCACCTCTCACTACCCACCTTTATAGCGCTATAAAATAGCAATGGACCAACTCTGCACACTCATTAATGGAGTTGTGCGGATAAGGTCACTAGATGATCCACAAAAATAGGTTGAGAAAATAGTTTTGGGAGCAAAACGTTGACCCCACGCCACGGCGGGCGTGCGGCGGCGCGCGCGTGGTTTGCCTCCTTTCCCTTCTCATAACACTTCAAACTATCTTAAAAGGCTTGGAGTATGTAAGTAGGGAAATAAGAGGTTATTCTACCAATGTAGGACAACTTGGTTAAGCTATAAGAAGCCTTTCCCTTTAAATGTTCCCAACAACAATAGACGGCTATGTCATTCTTTGTTTATACGTAGATGATATGCTCATCGTTGGTAGTAATGATAAGATGATCAAGTCTACCAAAAACATGTTAAATGCAAGATTTGACTTGGAAGATATGGGTTTGGCTGATTTAATCCTTGGGATTAGAATCATTAGAATACCTGATGGTTTGGTGTTGAGCCAATCACATTATATTGATAAGATCCTTGAAAAATTTAACAAGGATAATAATCAAAGGACTAGGACGCCACTAGATCGAAGCGTTCATC